GCTAACGCCTCTGACTGGAACTAATTGCGCGGACTTGAAATTCCGTCCAGTCCTCATTATCGGACTTTAAACATTACTTATTGACCTCAATATTAACAAAATCTTTTTAACCGTATGAAACTGTTTGTTAAGAATAATAACTGTTTAAACAAATTATATGCTCATTTTGCATCGATAACTGTAACAAGGGCACTTGAATCATTTACGCGTTTGCCTAAATTGTTTCGAGAAATCAAGTGCTACTTCTTGCTTGATAATGTGGCATTTGAGAGTATGACCACTTTATCTTTGGAAAGTTTCTTAAAAGGCATGAGAGCTGATCATGACATGCCGACTGTCGCTCAATATGGCTACAGAAGATCGCGTTGCGTGGAAGACAATGCTTCGCATTCAAGAAAAGCACTTTTCGTACTTTACTGGACCAAACTCCCATTATCCAGAAAAAGTCATTTGTAGGGTGGAACTCCGAAAGGAAAAGAGAACCGAAGGCGTCCTATAGGCTAACAAAAGAGGAGAGGAGTAAGTACTGAAAGAGTTTACAAGAGAATATGGTAGAGGCACACGACAGGAGAACGTCCGCTCCAAAACAAAAGTTGGTGCATTGACTTATGCGTTGAGATCGTGACCGACCACACCCATAACGTCGTCGACGACTGTTTAACTCAAGATGCGTCTGCAGTGGACAAAGGCGCAGTCCTCTTTTGTATATTCACACGAAACACAGGAAAGAAGATTTAGTGTTAACTATAGATACAACTGTAAAAGAGAGRACTGTCCTTATTGGCTAGGAATATTGAGCGAAACAAACATAACTACAAAAATTAGCTAGTCCTTTAAAGACACAATCAGAAATTATTGGAAATGGATACTTAGAAAGATTCGACTTTTATCGGTGTAAATTTAGCTGTCTAGARATGGAAACGTACATCCAGTTGTTCGTATAGCATGTATATAGAGTGCATGTCATAAATGTGTGAAACAATAGCGTAACTATTTTTTAGGCGTATCGGTATTAAGTTGCATAGCTGCTAACTTCGTAGTTATTTTCTTCATATAAGAATTGATTCAGGCGTAAAAACAAAGACACAAAGAAATCAAAGATAGACATTTCTTTGTGTCTTTGTTTTTACGCCTGAATCAATTCTTATATGAAGAAAATAACTACGAAGTTAGCAGCTATGCAACATAATACTGATACGCCCAAAAAATAGTTACGCTATTGTTTCACACATTTATGACATGCACTCTATGCTGCACTTTACTGTACTTCATATACGTAGTTTGTCATTGTCAGCGTGCGACAAATATTGGAGACAGTGCAAATTAGTGACGCGCTGGCCTGCGTTGCCGGCGGCCTGCGCAGGCTAATGACACGCTGAATATGAAATTTTGAGGAAAAAAAAAACACTGAAAATCACGCCATTTATTATCCGGAATCCCAAACAAAATTTTTTTGGAATCTGGAATCCCAAGGTTTGGAATCCGGAATCCCATGTTTTGGAATCCGGAATCCAGCGCTTGGAATCCGGAATCCTCTAGTTCTCTGGATTCTCTTACATGGGGCATGATTGAGCACTAAATCAGAACACCAAAGGAGGAAAAGGTAATACACCTAGATACTTAAAAACCCAGGTATTCGTTTTCACTATGGCTTGTATGTAATCCCCTTCATTGTTTGTGGAGTATTTCCATAGCACCGTTAATAATGTAAACACATGAAGCTGCTTAAAAGTATCAAAGAAGGCGGACAAACTAGCAATTGGGAAACTTTCTCGAAAAGCGATCACAGCAAAACCTTTTGTTAAAGAAGACTCTCTTTATTTGATACGAGTACATTCTTCATAACACTCTCGACACAAGTCAAATTGTATTCATTGCTTTTAATTGTTTTTATATAATCACCGAGACAAGGCTCTGTTCTACTGGCGTGCATCGTTGTGCCGAGCCTAGCAATCAAATTTCCGATTTTCTCAGTGTGTTTTCTTCAAAACCTTTTATTTCGTCTCACTGATAGCTCAAGAAAACGCATGGAATTTGTAAAGAAAGACAATGAAATTGATTTAATTTGCATACATTTTTGCTTACAGTTAGAGATATTTTTCACACAAATGATGCTAACAAAGAGTTAATTTTGTTTTCAGACTTGAGTTGAAATGGTTGTTTCCGTACTAACTGTGTTTTATCTAACCAATATGCAGACATTACGTGCTTATAATGTGTGAAATTTAATCCCTTCTTTTGGCGCTAAATAATTAAGCACCAGCCATGCCCGACTTTCAAAAATGGTGCGAAATTTCACGGTCGCCGACCATCTTGCAAGAGTGTTTTGTCATAAATAACAAACCAATACACTTTTCAAACTTTRAAGCTGCTATACATGACATACACATGCGATCTTAGTGTTGATGTAAGGTCTTGGAGGTCTCGTTTCATGATGCTTCACTAGTCCSCCGATATTGACTGTCGTGAAGTATCGCCATTTTTGAAAGTCCTGTATAAAAGGCACAGTCAAGCATTTGGAATCAAAAAATAATAATAGCTCTCTTGCAGTTCTTGAATTGAGTGCTTATTAGAGTACAAACACTAAAACTGTGCAACATAAATACCACTAAATACTGCTAAATTATGCTAATTCTATTGTATTCTATTGTTTACTTAACACTATTTTGTAGTTAATAGTGGAAAGTGTTGCACACATTTAATGTTTGTACTATAGTATCATTATATGTCAGTATATAACTATTTCAAAAAAACATTGTCGGGGAGAACGGGACTATGGTTTCGCTCTCCCGAGTCCGACCATTGTCACTGATTTCCCACAACGAACTTTTAAACAATTGCTTTTCAGTTCTATTCAATGCTGAAGTTAACGAACCTTAACTTTAACCCCGAGAAGTAGTTTTCATATTTGCAAGTATAATGCCAAGAAGCTCATCAACATTATCAAACATTGAAATTCGTCAAGTGCACAGCGGTACGAAGTACTCAAGTAATACCATGATCACCTCGGATTCTTTTGTCTTCCGAGGGATGTTTACAAGCGAACATCCCTCCCTCATGAATAGAATGAGGGAAGATTACTAGTAATCGTCCCTCATGCATAATAATAACATGAGGGAAGATTAGACCTATCGTCCCTGATGTTATTGATGAGGAACGGAAGGCAAAGGAAACCTTTGCTTCCTAGTAGGGAGAACTGAATGTCTCTACAGCCGTCTTGTTTTTATCTCTGCAATGAACGCTCTCATTATCGTCTCCGTCACACTGAAATGCGGGATG